CGGTGTTTTTATTTATTATGAACTTAGGTAATATCAATTACGAAACATATTTTGTTCTTTCTTACTTTGACATACGGTGATTTAATGGCATAATGTATTCTCTAACTGTTTAATTAATCCTCGTCTAAACTCATTAACGGCAGAAAACGTGATTATAAGACTACCCTGGTATATGACAACAGATACACAGATGAAAAAAGAAAGGAAGTTTACAAACAAATTCTCACAACAAATCTTACACAGTAATATATTCCAATGGATAATCCGATTGCTTAGAAGATTAAGGGCCAATGTGTTCTTAAAATTCCTGAATAGTTTTTGTAAACGGTTGTATATTGTTAACTAAATTACAAACATAAAATTATTGTATAATGTTTCAATTGTATGTTGTTAGGGAGAATTAAACAATGAACAACTTCGTAAGAAGTATTTGTCTTCAACTCGATACAGTGATTGTCATAGCTCTTATCAGCTCAAAAACTAAGAAGAATATTTAGAGACCTCCAGTTTGCACAAAAACTTGACTAGCACACAGAGCTTGTGTTAGAAAGTTGAACATTCATTATGGAAGCATATTGCACTGTTTCCAAGGGGAATACAACTACGAACAAAACATTATACCTTACAGACTATTCAGGACTCAATTTATTCTGATTATATCTGGTGGAAACACCAAGATGATCAGACTATTCGATTAAAAATTTACATGCGGATCAGAACCGAGAACCCAATAAACAGGGACGAGGAGAACGCCTTATTACAAAGACCTCATTACGTGTTTGCAGAACGGGGTGGAGACTGCACGAGGACAAAAGCATTACTGACCCTCAGATTTGAACTTCTCAGATGGTACTGTACCGATAGTGCTAGTGGTATATGCTCTAATCTGATGACCAGGAATCAAACAAAGTCATCAAATATGAAATGATCAAGACTCAACTGAAAACAGAGTAATTATAACTACTAATTCAGAATGTTGATGTTTTCATCAGTGAGTTCGTAATGTGCAGCCTACACAATTGATTTCAGTGTGACTCATGCAATTTACTTAGAAAAAGCAGTGTTGAGAAACATTTTCAGGAAAATAGATAACTAGGAATTGCCAGAAAACACTTGTATCACCTCGTTGATGATATTCTCGATCTGCTTTGACCATCATTCTAAGCATTTGGTTCAGTGTGCATCAGTGAATCGATATGTATATATTGATCAAGGATGTAGTAGTATTTATAGACAATTTTCTGCGTAAGATACTGAATGTTCGTTGGTCAGATACCATCAGCCACAGCCTACCATGAGAGAGAACAAATGAGGTCGCACGTGAGTGGAAATAGAGCGAAAGACATTGGAAGTGGATAGGAGACACACTGAGGAAATCATCGAACTGCATCAGGACGCAAGCACCAACTTCGAATCGTGAAGGGGAACGGAAACGTCGAGAGCCAAAGAACACACTGTGACGAGAATTGGAAGTAGACCTGAATAGGATGAATAGAAAGTGGAGAGAACTGGGAAGGATTGACCCGGACAGAGTTGGGTGGAGAATGCTGGTGAGCGGTATATGCTCCTCCATGAGGGATGACAGAAGTAAGTAAGTAAGTAAGTAAGGGAGTTGTATAATATAGTAAATATGTTGTGACAGTGAACTGATGAATTGTTATTATAATTATTATTACCAATAATAAATACAACTCAGTTCAATTCATGACAATCTGAATGTCGATCAGACTGTAAATCAATCATATACAACTGTTCCGTGTTCCAAAATCACTTTGTTTTATTGGCGAGTGATCACCAATTAAACAAAGCAATATCACTTGATAATGATTTATGGCAAACGGTTGTTACACGACATCACTTTTAGGTAAACAAATGATAGCTGTAACATTGATATTATGTTTCTTACACAAATCAACACACATCGAAAACACGATCACCACAGTATATAGACAAGTGGATTGAAGAAAGGAAACATGTACAAAACGATAGACAGTGCGTTTTGTACACGTTGAGGTGTTCCTCAGTTTTCTGTTATGTACAATGTTGTGTGCGCATACACAACTGCGTATTGATGCATAGGAAGGATTAGAAGATCTGTCTAGTCATTGTATATTTATTCATTATTAATGTACTGAATTTGTGAAAGTGTGTTCCACAGTCGGCCAACACTAACTTCTTTCAATTCATTCTAATATTCAAGTTAATTTTAGAAGTGATCATTAGTTACCTCATATTTCTTGTTTATTTACATAAGAATGTAAAACGGTGTTTTTATTTATTATGAACTTAGGTAATATCAATTACGAAACATATTTTGTTCTTTCTTACTTTGACATACGGTGATTTAATGGCATAATGTATTCTCTAACTGTTTAATTAATCCTCGTCTAAACTCATTAACGGCAGAAAACGTGATTATAAGACTACCCTGGTATATGACAACAGATACACAGATGAAAAAAGAAAGGAAGTTTACAAACAAATTCTCACAACAAATCTTACACAGTAATATATTCCAATGGATAATCCGATTGCTTAGAAGATTAAGGGCCAATGTGTTCTTAAAATTCCTGAATAGTTTTTGTAAACGGTTGTATATTGTTAACTAAATTACAAACATAAAATTATTGTATAATGTTTCAATTGTATGTTGTTAGGGAGAATTAAACAATGAACAACTTCGTAAGAAGTATTTGTCTTCAACTCGATACAGTGATTGTCATAGCTCTTATCAGCTCAAAAACTAAGAAGAATATTTAGAGACCTCCAGTTTGCACAAAAACTTGACTAGCACACAGAGCTTGTGTTAGAAAGTTGAACATTCATTATGGAAGCATATTGCACTGTTTCCAAGGGGAATACAACTACGAACAAAACATTATACCTTACAGACTATTCAGGACTCAATTTATTCTGATTATATCTGGTGGAAACACCAAGATGATCAGACTATTCGATTAAAAATTTACATGCGGATCAGAACCGAGAACCCAATAAACAGGGACGAGGAGAACGCCTTATTACAAAGACCTCATTACGTGTTTGCAGAACGGGGTGGAGACTGCACGAGGACAAAAGCATTACTGACCCTCAGATTTGAACTTCTCAGATGGTACTGTACCGATAGTGCTAGTGGTATATGCTCTAATCTGATGACCAGGAATCAAACAAAGTCATCAAATATGAAATGATCAAGACTCAACCGAAAACAGAGTAATTATAACTACTAATTCAGAATGCTGATGTTTTCATCAGTGAGTTCGTAATGTGCAGCCTACACAATTGATTTCAGTGTGACTCATGCAATTTACTTAGAAAAAGCAGTGTTGAGAAACATTTTCAGGAAAATAGATAACTAGGAATTGCCAGAAAACACTTGTATCACCTCGTTGCTGATACTCTCGATCTGCTTTGACTATCATTCTAAGCATTTGGTTCAGTGTGCATCAGTGAATCGATATGTATCTATTCGCGCATGTGCTTGCCGTAAAGTCGCATTGTGATCGACTTTGAAACTGGAAATCAAAATTTGTTCTATTTTGGAAGGTTGAATTGAAATGTGTGGATTCGAGTTTTAATAACAATTTCTATACCCACAGATATGCACATTTGCTTCAAGCTGTAGTGTAATTTACACCCACTTTATAAGTTCAGATTGCCATGACCTTATTTCATCGTCCTTAAAGAACATCAATAACATTTGTCTACTGGATAAGCTAATTAAATTTGTGTCTTGTTTATACTGAAATCTGAAATTATATACATTGTGTTGATGTACAATGAGTAAATTGTATAATGTTAAGGCAAAATTGAAGAATGAAGAACTTTATAAGCAGTATTTGTTTTAAAAGGAATTGATTAAGATGCTTATTTAGATACGATTTCTGATGAAATATTTACATTATTACATATTCCAGACTTTGATATATTGACTGAGTGATTTACATTTGAAATAATAATCGCCTGACTAGGATTTCCAAAATTCTGTGGATTGTTGGTTCATATGTGCTCAATGTTAGTATAGTCAAAAATGTAAGCCCTTTGATACTTACGTTTATTAGAGTAATCATTATAACAAATTGTTGGACATCATTAAACTATTTTTATTATAACATGATTGATATCTTCATTGATGTTATATTCATTAATGGGTACAAGGAGTTTCTTTGTGGAAACCTTTTTCTTGTGGTTCTCACAATATACGGTCTTATCAGTATAAAAATGAAGTTCAACCTAATTTTTTAAAAGAAACACACTAGTTTTACAAAGATTATTTTACATTTAAATAAGTTACACTGAATTATCAGTGTAAACCGACACTCATCAATGATGAAGTAATGAATACTGTGCGTTGTCTATCAACAAGGTGGCTAAACTAGGATGACCCTGTCACATAAAAATTCCATTCTGGTTGAAAACAAAAGGCTTCAATCGTTTCATTTTCTTTATTGATCATTCAGTTGATATCAGACTATGATTAAAAATATCTCGCTCAAATTATTCACCATGTTCATCGCCTAAACTTGTCGGATATGGATAAATAACAAAACGTAATCCGCAGCTTGTACTCTGTTAGTGCTAATCAAAGAAGAGGAACTGGATCATCCACCTTCATCCAAATTATTACTAGTAGGAATCAAGATCTAATATAATATGATGTCAAAACCGTTCTCAGTACAAGTTAAATTCAAAATACGTCGTTGGTAAAAATTATATTTGGCATGCAATTGGCATGTAATACTGGTATGTAAATCAACTATGAGTTTTGATGTGTTAGAAGAAATATTTTCTGTAATCAATTAAAAGTTATCTGCATTTACACCTGGATGTATTCTTATTGGAACAGAGACATATACAAACACACCATATACACACACATTCAGAAGTATTCAACGAATCGTTTTCTGATTAAGTGAATTTTACATTCCATTTAACCAGAGTAAAAGGTATATATTCACACACAGAATTTCAATGTTACAGAACGACACAGACCGAGTAAAATGAATGCGAATCTTTTACATTTGCTTTTAGCCATTGTGTTTACTGCCACTATTACCGGTAAGTGTTGCTTGTTAATGTATGTTATTTTGATGGTTAAATATTTTTCTCAAATACAAGTAACTGATTAACTATTGATGTAGTGTAGTGCTGGGTCTAGTTCACCATTGATCAATAGTTCTCTATAGACTACATTTACTTCTGTCAAACCAGTGCTAACTTGTGTGAAACTCAGGTGATGTAAGATTATCTATCACCTAATCTCCAACCAACTCACAAAAGTTATGTGTTGGTATATGTGGTCAGCAAACAAGCGTTATGAGTCTATTCTCACATAGTGGGGACATATGAAGGATATGCACAATTTAACAAATGAGGAAAACTTTCAATGTATCGTTGAAATTTCAACATGAAATCATATGACGTTTAAACGTAAGAATACAAAATACGGAAGACTGGGTTTCGATAAAACTGGAAGCTCTCAAATATCGTAGAAATTGTTTTAGTTTAAACGATGTTACATGCAGTTGTCTTAAGAAATGGTATATTGGAATATCATAACATTATCGCTTACCGTTCGTATTTGGGAACACAAGAATGAAGAAATTGTACTCGTGTTCACAAATATAAACTGTGTGCAGAATTGTCAGTCTACCCCAATCGGATGTTAATAGCCGAATGAATTTAACTTTGATTATTATAGTTCAGTGGAGAGACGTTTCATATTAACGAAGTATTACTGTATTTGTAGTTGAAATATTCACAGACAGTAGTCCAAAAAACAAATGAAGCGTATAACACCCTTCAGTAAGCTCAACAAACGATCAATAAATATAAGTAGCAAAATAATAATGGATAAAATAAATATTTTAAAAGAGGTGTATGTTCATCGAAAAGCTCTTGTTGATTCTAATTCTTTGCTTGAAAGCGATATATGTTATCTCATGTTTATCAAGATCTTAGTCACTATTTAAATTTTTCGTCAGTCACTCAGCATCGGTCCAAGTTTTCAGACCTCGTTAGCACAACAATATGAACATCAGATTCATAGTAATTCACTTCAATGTTAGTAATACATAAAACTAAGATTTTGCATAAGGATATAATACAGAAAAAAATTGGTTCGTAGAAAGAAAGGCGTAAAGCAATTGTAATCTCATGGTTTAAGGGAAGATAAAGTGTGTACACATCTACGCTATTGTAATCTATTTTAATTCATGTCACTTAGAGTCTCGAAGCATTGGTTGCGATCAGTTAGTGGACCTCAACACAGGAGTCTGCATCTACCAATACGGCTCGATCTGGAAGTTAGTCTCTTCAAGGACTGATTCCATGTTTGGGTTTGACCGCCTCAACTTTATCAAATATAACATAATTTACAAGCTAACGATTCATTTAGTTCTATTGCACATAAGTCTTCCTCTACATTTTCTTTTCATAAATGATGACTTCCTATTACATTTGAAATCAATGTACAACTTATTTTTAATACTCCAATGCGTTAAACAGTCTTGTGATAATCTTACAAAGTGGCATAATATCCATCTGTTTTATTAAAGATTTGTCCGTGTAAAACTTCATTACAAATATGGTTGTATACGTGGGCTCAATTATTATAGTCGACCACGAAGTTGCACTGAATGAAACACATTCAATTCGTCTGTTGACAGGTTAATTCTTAGTTTTCAACATATGACGTTGAAAAACATTGTTGGATGAAGTAGACTTGTGTTGCTTCGTGTAATCTAGTTCAAATTTGCACTTTCTCATTTGTACAAATAAATCTGACTTATTACAATTGCACATACAGTGTAACATCCAAACGACGTTTGTTCCCGTGGTGGAGAGTACCAATTCGTATTACTTTACACATTCATAATACCGTTTTCAGCCATTTTATCATTATGATCATCATTGTTATTGTTAACTTAAGTTTCCACTAGTGAGCCAAAAGACACTCACACATGTCACAAAAATACCTACAAATTATGCGTTTTTATTATTTGTACAAATCAGTGTGTAAATGAGTGATTGACAACAAAGAAAGTGAAATTAATTGATTTCATGTTACTGAGTTAGTTAATCTTAATTCATAACATGTTATCGATGGAACTGATGGCATACATTTTCAGTGTGATGATCTGAGAAGATATCGTTTCATTTATATTTTAGGCATTCACGCTTATCGTACTGGTGATCTTGACAGACGTAAGTTCAAGTTTGTGAGTTGTTTTGATATTCCGATCTATTGAATTTCTATTACTTGATAAGACTAACGTTAGTTAATTTCCACCATCGCGATTCCAGGCGAAAAGAAGAACAGGCATTTCTCCAGTAATGTACAGCTTAAAAATACTGACGAATGTTTACATTTATTGATGAGAATATAAGTTCGACAAACTCATTTCCATTGAGGTAGACATTTGAATACCGAATGTAGATATTTAGTATGAAACGTCTACATTTGTACAAAGCATTTGAATGTTTGTTTCTCATTATGTAATTACATCAGTCAAACGAATGTATTCTTCACGTCCATCATCGCTATTAAACTTATTAATCAGAATACTGTCAAATGCGTTTTATCTCAACGATTGGTTTCTGATGAAATTCACCACAAAATATCAGTTTTTAACAATTGTGAGAATCAACGGCATTTACATTGTAACCACATTTGAACAATCTTTTTCCCGCGAATGATTTAGCTGTTGATGAAAGTGACGCAAACGAAGGAATAAACGACTTCGGTAAGTACTATTCTCTTCGATGAATGACACCATTGATAATTTTGCAAATGTGACAAGTTTTCTCACTGTAATTTTCAGTTCGCTACAACTATCTTCAATGTAGTGTCGACCAACTCTGATCAACCTGAGTAGGATTTTATGTTCTTTCTATTCATTCGTTATTGAAAAGTTGAGTTAATGTAAGGCGTGTATGAAGATTTCACAGTTACTCATTTCCTGATTTCTTCCAAATAATTCAAATAAAAACGAATATATGATAATAGGTAGATGTGAGAATATCTGCTGAAGCATATTCGTACTAATTGAATAAACATAATTTGATACTCATGTCATGAACAACGAAATTTTACTGTAGGAATATATTCTGAGTACAACTACATATCGAACGATATGATGTCTAAGTCCACTCAATCAACTGAAACGAAATTCTACAAGATATGCAGAAGTCTTCCGGCTGTGACTGATCTAGTACATTTTACCAATGATCTTTTCAGATTCTGAATACGATGAAGAAAACAGAGAAAGTAACGAAATCAGTAAGCTGAATTCAGTTTGTTGGTTTGTTAAGATGAATAAATTCTGGTTCTTGGAAATACTGATTTGTTGAGACAGGAACGTTTTCACAAACTATTTTGAAAATAAACGTGGTTTGGTCAATATGTCTGCGACCATTTAGTCACATGTGTGAAACGTAATTGATCGCTACCAGTGATTGAACACTAATCTCTATCACGTTGTTATTAGTTTGAGTAGGTGACAGTTGAAGACACAGCACCTGACAACCTATATAATTGATCCTGAGTCTGACAATGCTCATATAACCAGTCAATCCTATCAAAACCAGATGTGCATTGGTTTTTGTATGAGGTCATCGCGTATTCCGTTGTTTATCGAATAAGATAGTCGGCATGATGAAAGATGGCTTGCAACGACCAATGCATTACACTGATAAATTATTTGAATGATTATTCAAGATTTATCGTTTTTTGTCAATACTGAGAATGATTCAGAGCATACATAAGGAAACAACGACGGTTCGTTGATAAGGCCTTTTTCTAATTGTGCCTTGTGCACAGATACGTACGTTAGTAGTCATATATAAGCAAATAGTACGCATCACAGGCTTCAAATGAGAATAGAGAATTTCTCGACAAGTCAATGTATAACACTGAGTTGACAGCACACGTTGTTGTATTGACGAAGTTTAGGCACCTTAACATGATAAGCTTTCGAAGATGACATCCAATGTAAATGAGCACGCAGTAAGTGTCTTTATTTCAACTTTTGTAGTTTACAATGATTCACGTGATACAATGGACATTTCTTCCGGTAAGCCAATGTCGAGAGAATGTCTCAATGATATGGTTTTACATTTTACTAATAACTGATTGCATAATGACTGGGATGAGATTCATTGCACTAAATCAATATGAATAAAACATACATATTGCACCTATTCTACCATTAAAACTCTAATCACTATTCGCTTAAAATTTTTCAGAATATGATATCGAACAACTCTGTTCATTAACGGATAGCCTCGGTAAGCATAAGACTTCAAATTCAATGACGTGTTCATAATACGATGAAACTGATGAGCATAAATTATTGTATTTTCCAGAGCAATTCTACGAAGGTAACTGCATGGGTAATACAAATCAATGTAAGTTGGATTTCATTTCCTTTTTATTCTGTCTGTAATTAAGGCTGAGTTGATTTAAGACGTAAAATTATACATGGCACATGTACACACTCTGCTTTCTCTCACACGTTATTGTTGAAGACGAATATTAATTTATCAGTCAATTTGGGACTGGATAGTGTTGAATGTTCGATAAGCTCAATAAGTGACGTGACATTCGCGTGTGGGATCCACGTTGGAGTCAAAAGCGTGCACTTCTGAGTAGTCTCTTACTAGAACAAAGCCTCTGTGTTGTGCTCAGTGGTTTCCAATGGTTGCTCGAACAAAATCGGTTGACAATTTAAACTACCGGATGACGAGTGTCAAATGAGATTTGCTACTAATTATCGATATGCAGAAAACAAGTAAATAAATCTTATTTACATTCGAAAAGTCTTAACAAGTCTACGTTTATCAATTATCTAGTTGTTAATGAAGATGACGTGAACTCAGCATTCGGCGAGATGTGTAAGTTATGACAATACTTTTATTTGAGTTCAACGAGCTCAACTTGACTCAAAAATTTGATAATGACTCAACACATATATCGCTTTTTCCGATCAAATAATTATGGTTTAAAAGTAGATAAACGTGCAAGGATGTTTATCACAAATCATTCACATGTGAGAGAGGATCCAAATATCCAGTAAATCTCTGGTAACAAAAACAAGATATACCAAGTAAGTGCATGTGAGAAGGTTGTGACAAAAACTGTGTGCATAAAATTCACAACAATTCCATAGCAAATTATGTCATGTTTAAAGGTGCTGTGTAGCATCATTCAATTATTATATTGCAGGTATCAAGAACACTTTCAAGTAGGGTGACCACAAGGATGTGACACACATTCGATAGTCACTTTCTGGAATCACCAATAATCTTTATAATAGAGGAAGCTTATACCAAGCTCGCTTATTGATTTAAGGGGAGTGAAAATATTTCTAATCAATGTGAGTGAAAGTCATTCGCAAGTCAGATTAGAAGAGGAAGTCAATGTGAGCGTCGTTTCTCACCTCACATTGTCTCTCTCACTGCACACGAACATTCGACTCGATTTGTTTTGAAAAATTGAAACAGCATTTCGCTGTCAATGTCTAGAGCTTTTGTGGACAATGATTAGTAGTGACCAACCACGAATAGCATGAATAAATCTTGTCGACATTTTGATGAACCTATCGTTTTTTGATTTATTATTTTAAAGCCTTCGACAATCATCCTGGTGAAAATGAAGTCATCGAGAATCGTAAGCTGAATTTCTCCCCATTACTGTAATGACGGTTTATTTGGCCAACTTTGTATGACGAGAATTGACACGCACAAATCGATCTATCTATCTCAAGGTTCAGTCATAAGCAGATACACATGTGCATTGAATATGCGAGTGGAAAGTGACGAGGATTCGTGAACATCGCCTTACTAGAACTCAACATATGAAATACAGTTACAACAAATGCACGCACGCATATATGTCTGCATGGACTAAAAGACATCAGTAATCAGCTACATAAATACCGTAAATCTATGGAGAGATGTATCGTGACCTACGAAACATCAGAGATAAAATGAGAAATGAGGTTTATGAAGCAACAAATCGTATTATATGAGATTCAAATAAACTACGCCTTGAAATCAGCTTATGTATCGGTATCCACAACAAGATGGTATGAAGTGAGTGCAGTGTGTATACTGTTCAGTAGGCATAGAAAGTGCAATGCAATAATTTTATAAACGGGACAGATCGTGACTTATTTCAAGCTTTGTGTAATTTGGTAAATGGACACTTAAACGCCGTAAATTATGTACTTCACACCCACATGTTTGCCTACGTTAACTGACAAATGTAGACTACGCTTATTGATATAATGTGTGGAGATGCTGCTAGGAAATTGGTGACGATCAGAAAGTTATGAGAGTTCATATAATTTATGGATAACCACAAATTTGGTTATGAACCGGACAAATCTACCGATTTTTAAGTTTCTTCTCGATGCATTGAATTGTAATTATGCGTCAGTTGTCTTCTACTTAACTACCGAAATGGTTGTAAAGTGAATGCTTTCGACGTAAACACGCGATAACAAGAATGAACACGAACTGAGTGTTGCTTGTTCCGACATTTGTAGATGACAATGTTCCAGATGATACAGTGGACATTTCTACCGGTAAGCGAACGTTGACTGAATGTCTCGATTATATGGTTTTTACTTTTTTCTGATAACTGATTGCATAATGACTTGAATATCACTTGTAATTACACGACTACGATTGTGATGGAGACAATGCGGCATCCATATATGTTTCAGGAATTCACTTTAAATACCGATTTACATGCTTTGTCACATCCTCACTTATGAATAGGAATTCCATTACAGTGGATATCACAGCGTTACATATACGTGTACACATGAAACAGCATTAGAGTGAGCACATAGATAACGACCCTCACAATATTTCACTCAAGAACCTCTTAAGGGAATCAGACGAACTTTCATAATGTAAATACTGTCAACATTCATTAGTATCCTACTTACTTGACACTGAACATTGATAGATGGCTTACAATATTTGTGAGCGATTCAATGGTCGTGTATAGCATGTATAAAATTGATGTGTGTCATCATGCCCTCTCTGAAATCAAGTAGCAGGTTAGCCATGACTGCTTGAAGTAGCACAATTCCATGTGAAGTGGGAAATCGTAAATGAAGATCGTCGATGACACGTCATATCATATGTTGTCAGATCTGGTTGGATTGCAGAACTGATTCATTTTGCCAGTAAATTGGCACATTATTCTTATCACTCAACCTAATTTCTCATGGAATTTTATTCTCCTTCACATAAATTGCAAATGCTCGAGGATTTCAACTATCAGACAGGGATGATAATTTTATGTGACTTTGTTCTTTTCATGTAAGAACATGTTTGCGCGTAAAGATTAATAATAATATTGGTCATTACATGGAAATTCTAAATGTGAAACAGTAGCCTTAGTCATAAAAGAATTTACTTAGTGCAGAATTTTGTTTTATATAATGTAGAATTTGCATAATTTCATTACGAAGGCCTATGATTCTTGATCAACTGAATATAGTATACGCATTCGTTCTGGCTGGTAGATGCATAAAATCAATCTATGCTAAATGTGTTTCATTTCGAAAATTGCTTCTGATGAAATTCATCTCAGTAAATCAGTTTGAAACAAACATGCATTTTGTTCCCATTCACATTTTTGAAATTTCCATCACTGTTTGTCTTTTATAGATTTAGACGTTCATATACAAGACATGTGTACAGTCATATATAACTTTTGTAAGTCTAATTTTTTTGTGTGAATGACATCATTTACATTACGACGAATCTAATGAATTTCCTTCTCTCAAATGTTAGTTCACTTTCAAATTCAACAATGTTCACGCAATTCAAGTCAATGTAAGTTGGATTTCATTTCTTTTTTATTCTGTCTGTAATTAAGGCTGAGTTGATTTAAGACGTAAAATTATACATGGCACATGTACACACTCTGCTTTCTCTCACACGTTATTATTGAAGACGAATATTAATTTATCAGTCAATTTGGGACTGGATAGTGTTGAATGTTCGATAAGCTCAATAAGTGACGTGACATTCGCGTGTGGGATCCACGTTGGAGTCAAAAGCGTGCACTTCTGAGTAGTCTCTTACTAGAACAAAGCCTCTGTGTTGTGCTCAGTGGTTTCCAATGGTTGCTCGAACAAAATCGGTTGACAATTTAAACTACCGGATGACGAGTGTCAAATGAGATTTGCTACTAATTATCGATATGCAGAAAACAAGTAAATAAATCTTATTTACATTCGAAAAGTCTTAACAAGTCTACGTTTATCAATTATCTAGTTGTTAATGAAGATGACGTGAACTCAGCATTCGGCGAGATGTGTAAGTTATGACAATGCTTATTGATATAATGTGTGGAGATGCTGCTAGGAAATTGGTGACGATCAGAAAGTTATGAGAGTTCATATAATTTATGGATAACCACAAATTTGGTTATGAACCGGACAAATCTACCGATTTTTAAGTTTCTTCTCGATGCATTGAATTGTAATTATGCGTCAGTTGTCTTCTACTTAACTACCGAAATGGTTGTAAAGTGAATGCTTTCGACGTAAACACGCGATAACAAGAATGAACACGAACTGAGTGTTGTTTGTTCCGACATTTGTAGATGACAATGTTCCAGATGATACAGTGGACATTTCTACCGGTAAGCGAACGTTGACTGAATGTCTCGATTATATGGTTTTTACTTTTTTCTGATAACTGATTGCATAATGACTTGAATATCACTTGTAATTACACGACTACGATTGTGATGGAGACAATGCGGCATCCATATATGTTTCAGGAATTCACTTTAAATACCGATTTACATGCTTTGTCACATCCTCACTTATGAATAGGAATTCCATTACAGTGGATATCACAGCGTTACATATACGTGTACACATGAAACAGCATTAGAGTGAGCACATAGATAACGACCCTCACAATATTTCACTCAAGAACCTCTTAAGGGAATCAGACGAACTTTCATAATGTAAATACTGTCAACATTCATTAGTATCCTACTTACTTGACACTGAACATTGATAGATGGCTTACAATATTTGTGAGCGATTCAATGGTCGTGTATAGCATGTATAAAATTGATGTGTGTCATCATGCCCTCTCTGAAATCAAGTAGCAGGTTAGCCATGACTGCTTGAAGTAGCACAATTCCATGTGAAGTTGGAAACCGTGAATAAATATTCCCAATGACGCACATCATATCATATGTTGTCGGAGCTAGTTGAATTGAAGAATTGATCCGTTCGCTTATAATTTTATGTACTATTTATGTGGGTTATCTTAATTGTCATGGAATTTTGTTTTTTTAGTGATTGGGAATGCTCTAGGCTTTCAACTTCCTGACAAATATGTTAATCTAATTTATTTCTTTGGTTTCTTATATGAAGACATTCTAGATTATTAGTTACTAATGTGATTGACCACTGCAGGTTATTCTCAGTGTCTTAGAGATGCAGGAATCATAGATGACTTTCGTCCGTGCAAAATTACGTTTTTCTGATACTATATATGGGAATGCAGACCTACTAAGCTGATCACGATAAGATTTTTCGGCCGACGTCGTATTCACTCTTGCTGCACACCTTTGAACTTTCACCGTAAAGTCGTGGGATTGGCCTTATGCACCAGTGAATATAATTTAGAATACGACATTGGCTTAACATAACGTTGAGCCGTTGAGATACGCAGTAACTAGTAGACAAGCGATTGCACGAAATCCTAGTATAATAATCAGATCGTATATTTGAATTCGTTTGAATTTTTGACATCCATGTTGATTGTAGAGGTAAATGTGATGAGATTAAGTTCATGTTTGTAAGTTTTTTTTTTACATTCCAATATATTGACGTTGGATGATGTGATAACACAGATATTATGTGCATCACCTCTTACGAGATTATGAGTGAAAATCAACACGGATTGCGGAGTGTCAAACATTTAAAAGAGGAAGGATGCATACGTTTGTTGATACAATCGTCGATAATATGTATCTGTTTAGTAATTGACACGACACTTACATGTGTTCCAACAGTATGTTTCAAATATCTATCCACATACGTTGTCAAATTTTCACTCAATACTTCAGATTCCACTTCATTAGACAAAACAGATTGAACACAATCGCGTACATTTGAAACCCCCCCCAACGGATCATCTTGACACAGATTTCCATAATCTTCCAATTATAAGCCCTCAAGAGTAAATAGAAGAACCCTAATAATCGGAGTAGCTGTTTAATGACCTATTGATCTGACTCTAATTTGGATGAACGTTTAAATCTGCCATGAAAATAAATCAAAAATTTGACTCCGTATATTACCTAGATTAACCCCGTTTGTGTGAAGGTTGTAACAAGAGGCCGAATACGGATTTCGTTGGATGAATTTATTTCAAGCACCACTTTATCCAAACAGACATGCAGAGTAAGAAGTGGGAAAGCAGAGCGAGGAAGTCATCTGGTTCTGATAAAACGTGACTGAATATTTATAACCGGACAAATATAAACTAATGTGGTAATGAAAAGGGATGAGCGTATATACACACATACGCTCATTAAAAGCAGTCGAAGTGTTAACATGCGAATAATTGACAAGGTCAAAATGTGGCTCAAGAAAAATGAACAAACTGTTCTGTCCGGAATCTAGAATGACATATGGGCTTGACATAGTGCTAGAAACTGCACCTCCACCATATCTCAGTACCTAACGTATCGGCCATCAAACAAAGAAAGATGACACTCCCTATTTGTGAGTGTTTCAGTGACCTTGTGACATTTGAATAGAAGTGATGCTTAACATTACCCCTTCTGCACGGTTATTGCATGGATTTGCGTTGATTTCTTAAAGCAACTTTGTTTTTGATGTGAACTACTCAGAACTCCATACTTTTCTGTACTACTGGCTCTGATTCTTCCACAGTTCGAATATGATACTGCCAGATCACTTCACTGATGGTTATAGGCTTCGTCAATTCATGTAGCATTATATGTTGTTAGGTGTTAACAATAGTCTTATCAATATCTTATCAATTATCATTATATTGCATAGATGTAATTTGTCTCCAAGTATATAATCCTGCTGATTACCTATGTACATTTATATCATTCTCTAGGAGATCATCGATTTAAAAATCGAAATTAATCCAAGGACAAGAATGGTTTGATAGCGTAAGAGCATGAATAACTCAATTTATTAAGTAAATTTAATTGTTCAGAAAATTTCTAGTGTTCAGTATTATTAATATACAGTAATTACAATTTTCATGCAATTGGTAACCTATATGAATTTGAATAAAGTCAGGAAAATTATTGAGGTGGAATAATATGAATTCATCATATTTCATGGGTTCTCACCAGTTGTATACAACAATTTGTGAAGAGATGTGTATAAGTGGGTGGTGGCTATCAGTGGAATCTTGGTTGCACGTTTCATCCTACTTGGGACTTGTCATCTGGATCTAACTGCATCTCGTAGTTGACGTTCACTCCGGGATTGGTTTCAAACGCCATTGCGTTATCCACTAACCTACCGTGTCTATGAAGTCACTAGTCTGTTCAATGGAGTGAGGTTTTAATTCATTTCGTATTGTCCGTTTGAAATTTATCGTTGATGTTTAGGACTGCAATTGACCAGTTTTTTATTGGCACATGAGAATCGTGTTCGTATTGCTTTGATACTATCTTAAGTCACAAGCATTATTCCTTTCTACCATTTGAAGTTGGGTTAATCAACTTAGGTTTTTTATTCTCTGAAGAATTGGGTTACTTTGAGTCACAAAGCGTCCGAAAACCCCATTTGTTCTGAATGCATTCAAATTATATAGGTACGAACCAGTCAGATATTTTCTTGAAAGAAATCTGAAGAATGCAGTTAGGTGTAATAGAAAATGAAGGATGGTGTATAGCATTATTCAACAGATTACTATTATACTAAGAACTAATGTTTCATCAAAATAATTTCAACGGTAGCTCCAGATACATGAACAAAGCACTGAGTATTTAGAATTTAAAGTTTTATTTTCACTCACGGTTTCCTTGGTAAACTAACGCGTTGATGGATGAACAATATGGACCAACAACCATATTTCTAGTATGAATTACTTCACTGATCTTCTGTGTAGGAAAGCCACTTTCGTTAGTTCATTCTTTGCTGAGTATGACTTCACTCTCAATAGGCATGAATAATTTAAGTATAATAAATTCTTACTTCATTATTTTTCAGATACACTCGCGAATTCTGTTTCTTTTTTGATTAATTAGTTTAGATGCAAAACCACTGTTGAATAAAAGTTTTTATCAAAATCGTCAAGTATTTTGTACTCCAAATACACGTTAACCTTAATTCCAAAATCAACGTGATATAATCTTACTTATTTTTGGCAGTTATTTGAACTTCATACAATGATACGTATGAATAGCTTCATAATGTTAGTCACAGTATCCACACTCTGTCATAATACATTGGAATTCGGCTTCACAAATTGTCAATTTGCTGTTTTCGCTGCTGAAACCACATCTGTCTAGAGATCCGTCATTCGAATTGGAGAATAAGATAAGATCGACGTACCAAGTGATTATCCAGGAGGGAGCACAAATATTGAAATGTAGGGTGTAGATTTAAGTAGTTCGAGAAAACCAGAAGGTGGATCAGTTAAAATTAGTTTCAAACAATGAACCACACAAAACGAAATGAGCGCGAAAACAGTTGGAAAATTTCTGTAACAGAGGAATTTAAATCTTCGAATAAGTGTATGAAGAGAGTGAGAAAATTGGTTTTATGGGAGAAAATAAATGAACGTGTGTCCATACTACCGATATTTTTGAAGAATATCCAGAAGTGAAGCTCAATCAACAGAATGTGAAAACATGAACTTTGAGTAGTCCATAAAATACTGGACATGAACACCGTTAGATCCCGGCTCAGTAGACTAGATTGTTGGAATCCCGCGTCCAGTATCGTGTAAGCGCACCGCTGAGGAGTCCCATACTAGGATGGAACGCCTGTCCCGAGCTCCCAGAGTTTCGTTGGTGGTCTGGCTTACATCGACTCATGGATTCAACTATGAAAATAAACCCATCGACCCGACTTAACTAAATATTTGTTAATGGAATAAGATATTTGTCCATCTTATCCTCTTATTTAATCACTGGATTTTTTTCGTTTTGTAGTCACTTGAGCAGGTGTTCAATCATTATTACTTGCAGATAATGATTGCTCCTCCCTATTTATAGGTATTTGTTTGTGTTTAGAAGCAGATAATGTTTAAAGCCGAGTTGTGCCTGTTCTGACTCTATAGCTTTCACACAGACTCTGGGGTCGCCAGTATCTCGTATACAGATTCAGCAGAATATTTATAGGACAAATTAAATCGTACACGCGTTGTTTGTTTTTGGTGAAATAAAGACTATGACCTTTTAGTAATCGTGAGTTGCATTACGTGAAATGTCCTTCTCAACACTAATTAGAGCCTTCATTTCAACTAAATATTATTAAATTTACCTCTGAAGGTTAGGGTGATAAACGTAAGTCTTCTGGTTGCTGAAACTTAATGGAACACAAAATACTGCTACCTATAGGTTGATTTATATAATTTAATGAATAATCATTCTTCATTAGCATTTCTTTTAAAGCCTTAACTTCTCACTCAATAACATCATTAGTACAAATAAGACTGATCCTGTTGAGTAACCCTTATATTAACACGCTCTTCTAATCCAAAACGGCTTTCTTACTTTCAACAAACGATAGCGTCATTCCAGTGAATCTGAGACTTAGACCTACACAATCAACAACACATCATCGTATCAAAATAATTTCGAATATTTCCCGTATTCTGTGCTGATGATAACTGATTGATGAATAAATGCATAATACTTGCAAGAAATATTTTTACTCTCAGTGGAATACTGAATATTACGATATATCGTAATAGTATGAAAAACAAGTATCAATTTGTACCGAATACTTTTCTATTTACAAAATAGCTGAAAATATGAAAAAGAAAAAAAGATACACGAATGAACTGAAATTAAATACAATACGTGGATGAAGTTAATTATTGGAACATTGAACCGCTGGACCTACACAAAACTGTAATCGATCAGTACAGAAATATGCAATTCACACACCAAATAATAATTTGTCATCTATGTACACATACATGTATATTAGATCTGTTCTGTTGGCTAATTTTCTGAACTATGGAAGGTGATAATCGTGATGTTTCAGCAGTAGTAGTACTACTACTACCAGTAGAATTACTAGTAGCATATACTTTGCTGAATACCTTTTTTGAAAAATCGCTGATATGTACACGCCATAAATTATACAAACCAAATAGAATACGCACAAGCATATATCGAATCATAGAGAGAATCCATCCTGTTACATATAATATACTGTTACTAAAGTACATGACACAATGTTTACAAAAATAGCAAACTACTATAAGTAGTATAATGACGTATATAAAATTTACGTTATAAGATATGTACAAATCAAGTTGTATAAAGTCGTTAATAGACTGTAACAATAATTTCGGTTTGTTAACTAAGAATGAATTCTTATCAGATGATAGAATTGAAGTAAATGAATGACAATAATGAGTAGTGTATAATTTTTCCGAAGGATATAATTCTACTGGATAGAGCAATAAGCGCTGTGGATGATAGAATGATCTGGAAAGTTTCAAAGAAAAATTAATATTTATTTAAACACTGAACAATCAGAATTATAACTGGAATGATGAAGTTGTGCTACGTGAGATATATTACAGTAAACAAATTCAACATTCATATGACAGAAAATTGTCGACAGACCCACTGTCATCTATCTGCTAAAGCAGATATAGTGATACGACTAGCGGTGGAATACAATCCAAGAAGCAATTTTCGTCTGATTTGGAGGCTTATCGGATTGACGCGCATGAATTTCAATGTATACAAATGTTCACATCTAGACTGCGACAAAGTAGCTATCGTTTTAATCAGGGAACACGTTAACCATTAAGCTAATGACTAGTTCAAAGCGGTCAAAAGAAATGATGAATAAGCGTATGTAATTGCTCATGGTTGATACTTAAGTCTCAATGTGAACATAAACACTGCGATGCAGATACATACGAAAGTCGACAAGTCCTAAATGGGACGAAACTTGCTCCTTGTATTTCACTGCTAGTTACATATACTAAACAATAAAATCTGCAGATAGATGTCATGAGACAATATCAACCATAGAAAATTACCAAATCTCATATAAAGTCCAATTGGTTTAGTCAAAATAATCATAGAAAGTTCGAATAGCAGAACTTACTGATGAAAGGTACTTGTCACTATTGTTGCCTTATTTCAAGAGTAACAGGATTTATGCTGCTAGGAATTACGAACATTCATGATATGGTTAGATATTTTGTCAGTTTATTGAAGTATATTCGAAATCATTTTAAATTGTCGAAGAAACTAAATGAAACAAACGACCATAATATTTTTTCTATTTAATTTAAGTTTAAGGGGACTAGAGACCATATCTGAGACAGAGTTAATACAATAAGCAGTCCGAAATTCTCTCCTACCGTATTCTATTCCAAAAGACAGAATACAATTAATGAATAACTTCCAAATACTTCAATTATTTGAGAATACAGTAAAAGTGATTGTAGGCGGCCTGCTTGAATAAATCTGTGCTACCTCTTCCGTTCATGTAGATATATTTAAATAAGTGGCGTTTATGAAAAGTATACGACATTTCGCTGAACAAGTTACAAAACAGAACAATCAGAGATATTGTGGTGGTTGGCAATATGCATTGAAAAGAGTGAACATTATTCAGATGTTGATTGTTGAACTGCTAACATCTAACTGGATATCACTCAGTATTCATCGTCAGGTTCGAAAACGAAATAAGAGGAGGCTTGTTGAAATACTTTGCGCTTAAAAGTCTATATTGCCAAAAAATAATATTGAATAAAGCCTATGATAATAATGATAATAATGTCCGTGTATTTATTGGGAAAAAAACAATTGTGTAAGTGTGTTGATACTACTCGATTTAGTTGTTAAATCCATCTAACCTTTGAAAAGAAACAACAATGATAATTCAAACTTACTCATTTGGTTCATCTTTATCTATGGATATGGAAGCTGTTGGAGCGATATAACATGATTTAACAGAATAATAAGCTTCAAGTGGTAGATAACTAGTATTCAACGTAGATGAATCCCATTCCTTTTTTATCACATTACTATACAGATTTAATTGAGAATCTTGTAAAATAAAATAAAAACAGAGAAGTACATAAACACCGGTCACATTAAAGCGTGATAATAATGAAGATATATGTTCATTACTAACGAGAACGATTCGGTGATGTTCAGGTTTACATAATGAAGTTAACAAAATCCTGTTATTTTTGCTGAGTAACTTGTTCTGCCTTATGAGATAGGTCAGTTGATGAACCGTAAGACTAAGAGCAATGAATCAAAGTTTACGGGTGAATCCGTACTATCGACTATACTAGAGTGACGGCAGTAAGGTGTTCCTCTAATCCAACCAGCATTTGGAACGATACAACATTTTTGCATAAAAAAGTAGGGTCAACCATAAAAAACGAACATCTCTCTATACCTCAAGGATTTATGTCAATGATGAAAAAGCCTCAAATGTACGAAGTTAACGCATCAAGAACCATTCAAGTTAGGTTATATATGAATGTAACTTTGTGCTACTACCACATGCTCACAGGTTAATGAGATTTATTCCAATTTATTTGTTTTTATGTACCTTTATAAGTATCCTTCCAGAATGCCGGGATCTGGGTAGTGAGAAACGCCCACACACCTCCACAACCACACAAACAAATACAATATAGTGCATACAATAACTAACTATTAAGAATATTTAACTCTAGATAAATGAAGAATCAAGGGTAACGCCGTTCAATATGCTTCACTTCGATTAGTTGAATAACATTATATTGGTGTTCATATAGCAAATAGAGGGCAGTATGTCAAACAATATGGAGAATTGAAGCAAAAAATATTCGATCACAGTTCAAACTACTCACAAAGATGGCTCAGTTGCTAAACAACCTACACGAAAACGTTTAGTCAATGGCTTTCAAATATGAAAAAAAACATATATTAGAAAAGGTGGATTGAACAAACTTTTTGCACGTGAAGGTGCTGTCAGAGAAGAATCAAACCAGACATCGGTATTCGGTGTAAACATTTGTTCAATTAAAATTCGTGGGATTC